TACTTTTAACGTGTATGCCTTACTTGAGACATCCCTGATCCTAACGATGTTATATTAATCAGCGGCAGAAAAATGTGAAAATGACGTTGTTAATCGGCCTTAATCTTAATAGCTTCCCTTGTTGCCTTTTGGTATGTTTTCTAATGTCAGCAAACAGTGACAGCCTACTTTGAGATCTCTATTATTTGTGCAGTGTGATCACTTTAGTTACTGTCAGTTCATAACATAAAAGGTTGTTTTATGAAAGGCTTAAAATACTTTATAACAGCCTAAAGTATGTCAGGGAGAGCTTCCTTGGCCTCCAGGTGTGAGTATACCTAATGGTATTGGCTTGAACTCTCCCCTTGGAGTGTGGCACACAAAGCTGCACCTTTGTTTCAGGAGCGACCGGAGGTGCAGGGAGGATTTGGGAGGGGGGAGGAGACTAGCCTGCTTAGGTAGCTCTTTTTCTTCCAGTTTAAAAAAAAAAAAATATATATCTCATGCTAAGGTCGGTCTGATAAGTCCATGTAAGTCCCCATGCTGCCAGAGATACAGAGGTTATTCACAACCCTCCCTCTCCTTCCAAAGCTGGGTGATAAATTCATTAATCCTCTTGCTTGTGAGACTCACAATCGGTTGCAATGCTTGTGCGTGGGGCTGGCTTCCTGTTGGGTTCTGCAGCTGAAAATGGCTTTTTTTTTTGATTTTCAAGATTTTTTTTTCCATAAAAGGTGGACTAGAGTAAGGTTTTGATACTTCTTTTTTCAAAGACTAGCTAGTCCAAATTGCAGCTCTGAAAAGGCACTTTTCTGTTAGCCGCATGGCAAATACCTGGTACATACGGACAGCTGCTCTGTCTGTGTGTGCGCGTTATACCTGGTACTATTTTAGAAAAAAATCCAGCGGTCGCTGGCATGGTAGCTGTTACTGGGGCAAGAGCTTCTCCACCAGGTTATTTACCTATTGGAGGGGGAAAAAACCCCAAACCCAAACTAGTAGCTGGATTAGAGCTGTCATTGGAAATTTGTTACTTTTTTTTTTCCCTTAAATACATTTAGATAACCTTAAGGGCCTGACTTACACCCAACAAAACCAGCAAGTTCAGAGTTAAGGCTTCTCACTCCATCTCTGATACTCACTGGAGCGCTTGGCTGGTATTGGAGATCTCAGCTCTCCCCAGATCCCTGCTCACCCAGGCAAGACGCTTGCCGCCCTGTTCCAGGTAGGTCCTTGCACAATACACCTGCTGTCCTGCGCAAGGTGCCCTGTGCCTCTGCACAGCCCGCTGCCTTCCCCGGCGTGGTCGTGGCCCGCGGCAGCACAGCAGGTGTAGTGGAAAGCCGGCAGCGAAAGGGGGAAGGGTACAGATGCAGTGAGAAGCTTTAACTTTGAGTTTCCTGGCTTCTGTGAGCACAAGTCAGACCCTTAATGTTGTTTTAATGTATTGTTTGTGTTTAATTTTTAGTAAAAATTTGAACACCATCCAGGCTACAGAGGTTGCAGTGGATAAGAAGTTTAAAACCTTTGGTTCAAGATTACAGGAGGCTGCAAGAAAAATAAAAGACATGGAAATGAGGATGGAATGACAGGCTGCTATTTTGCCTCAGAATACTGAAGATTGTAAAGCATTGAGAAATCGAATTCATGACCCTGGAAATCAAGCTCAGATTAAGAAATGTCAGGTTGGTAGGGGTTCCTGAAAGTCTCAAGTTAGGATATATTGAGATTGTTTTCCCATAACAAAGGTTCTAGGATGTGGGGGTGGATGGTATAATTTTTGTTATCGGTGTTATGTGAAATGCTATACCATATACTTAAATAAGCCAGCTAAGTGATTTTATTTTTTTTTTTTTTAAATTAGTTTCACATTTGTGGTGTTGAATGTCACTTTTGACTGATTTACAGTTATTCCTCTCTGGCACCGAGTTGCATGATTTACTGTTAATGCAGGCATGGAAAGTACTGCTCTTAAATACACATTGCTTTATCCTGCCACTCCAAGGGTCTGCTGCAAAGCCAAACACATGGTGCAGTATGACATTTCTAGATAAGAAACAGGCAGAATGTATCTAAATGGTGGAAGAAGTAGTTTTTTGTTCAAAGGGTTCTGATTCATAGTGAAACTGTGTCTTTCCAAATGTAAACTTTAAATAGTGACTGCCACTGTGATTAAGTTACAGTAAGTTTACTTAAGTGTTGAGTTATTGTCTGCGATTCAGTGATACCGTATTTAGGGAGGAAGATTGTGCAACAGGAAGCCTGTGCTGAAGTTCAGAAAGGATTTTGGCAAGCAAAGGTTTGTAGGGTTTTCATGGTCAAGGTCACTGGACATATTTGAGTTCTGGGGACTCTTTAAGTCCGAGATTCTCTTGGGGAGGGTTTATCCTTGTTGTTTTTCTGACTTGTTTCTGTGCCTTGGGGCTAGCTCTGACATGCCTTTTAGCACCAACAGTAAACACAAGTAACTTGGTTGAAATCGATAGATAAACTGGTATGAGGGGAAAACCAGACCACACCTTTATGTATTTTAGATAAATCATTATATTTTAGAGGATTGCGTTTTGTAATAGTGTATTTCATGATTTTCTGAGATAGCTCTAGTCAGAAAAGTGTTTCTTAAAAGTGACAGGTTTTTAATCTCGTCTTCTGTTATCTGTTTGGACCGTTTGCGCTCTTCTGTTGACAGTGGTGCTTTGATTGTAGCTCCAAGGGAATCATCTGTGCCATATTTTTCCTCATTCATTTTCAACAACTTTAGTATCAAAGTTCTGTTTTCTTTTTTAAATTTTGTTTTACCTAACGTTCAAACTTGTTGTTGAAATCCTGGCTTTGCTGGAGTGACAATTAAGACGATGACCATAACGTTTCAGTTGTAGAATGAGTACAGTTTTTCTATGCAATATGAATAGACTTGCAGTGTCATTTTTACACTTGTTTCAAGACATAATTGCATTTTATTAATGCTATTACATACAATATTTAAAAAGAAACATGAACAAGTCTATAACATGCTTTATTTTAGGGTGTTTCTAAGTAAATTTAATGTGGGGTTTTATAATTAAGTTCCCATTAAAGGATAGTATTTGTTCTCTGAATAACTATATAGGTTTACATTGTCTATTCATGTAGTTTGTGTCCTGTACCACATTATTAGTGTGTGGTTTATTGGCTAAAAATGACTGTATGAAGGTTATGTGGCCATTTCTGGTTCAAAGAGGCAACAATAGTAAGTTAGCAAGATGCACGATTTTGAAAAATAATGTTAAAAGGGTTCTGTTTAATTGTGATGACTGGATATTACTGAAAGAATCTGTCTACCAGAAGTGTTTGTAAGCATGTCTATTACAGTAGAGGTTAGGAATTGATGCTTTTACAACAGAGAATAGTTTTCATGGGTGTTGTACCCATGGAAAATGTTGCCGGTGAACACTTTTCACATCTGAAGGCCAGTCTGCTGTGGTGGGGTTAGTGTGGAGTCAGTCCATCGGTATCGTCAGTTGTTGGGAGGCACTGGGACTAGAACAGAAAAGAACCCAATGTAGTGACTCTTGTTCTGTCCTCCCCAAGTATAAAAGCTGTTTGAATAGGTAAAGAACTTAAACAGCGGATTGGAGCAGGGCTGGCCTGTCATCCTGCCTTGGTGAGGGTGAGGTTTATGGGTGCTGGCCGGGCAGTTGAGGCGATGAGGGTAACGGCCTCCTTAGCTGTACTCCTTTAGCCCCTGACCTGAGCTTGGTCCCAGTGGGGAAGCAACATGCTGCTTCTGTTGACTTGTGAAAATCTCTTTTCCCAGCAGCTGTTTTTCCTCGCTGGGTACCTTGTACAGATGGGGTTCTACTGATTTTTTTTTCCATCCACTTAAAATGCAGATGAGACTTTCAGGGCTTGCTTTTTGACACAGGCTGGGATTTAAGATGCAGGGATTGCTTGTAGAAAGTAGCTGGGGAACCTTAGTCTTTTGCATTAATGTTGGAATAACTGGTATTATCAGGCAGTAAGCAATGTTTTTAGATTCACACTGCAGCAAAAATATGTTGTTGAAATTTGCACACAAGGAACATCTAGCCTGCCTCACTTTGCAGGGTTTAAAGTGACTTATTTTAAAAGAAGAAAAAAAATCATGTACTTGTTTTTGCTTTTCCTTATCTCTTCAGGAAGTCCCCTTTTTTTTTCCCACCCACGCTTAACTACTTTTGTGTTAATGTAATGGTTTAATATTATTCCCTTGAGTACTTTTGTATATTTATAGCATCTATACTGTTAAAAAGATACTCTCTAAATATCTTGTTACAAGGATTACTTTTCATTTTAAGACTCCATAAAGAGGATATAAATGAAGTCTGCACTTCCAGCTGATTTTCCTTCCCCCAGTTATTTAATATGTATTTCTTTGTCACTCTACGATGTTCCAAGAGTGCTGTTGATTTAGGGAGGGACATCTTCTTGTATTTTGTAAGAGTTTTCAATGGTGGATTAAGTATTATGTGTTTGTTTGACTAAGCTATACGGAATTGTTTTGTAAAAAATTTAAGTCTAAGCAGACCTACATAGATTAGCAATTAGCCTGTGCACTTGGACATTGGATCTTCAGTAAATTCAAAATTTTGCTGTCGTAGGCTTTTTCCAGTTAAATTTTAGTCTCAGCAGAGCATCCTCATATATGTAAATTGACTGCTCAAATCCTCCCTGAGTTGCGTATGATATTCCATAAGCTGTACTCTTGCAAGCCTGGACAAGATATTTCTCACTCTGTCCAGAACTCACAAAGGTGTGGAATCCAATCAAAACAGAAATTGTGGATAAGATTGCACAGACACTTCTTAATAGTGCAGTAAGAATGTGTCTAAAAACCAAATGCACCATTCCCTTAGTGGTTTTATTCATCTTCCATTGTTCAGCCTCCTGAATGTCCATGGCTTTTTCTCTTAAGTCTTCTGTGTTTGGTTGATTGCTGACTGTAAACTTGTCCTGTTTTGCTAGCTTCAGTCCTTGAGATCTTTTCTGCCATCAGAATAAACAGACTAGCTATAACCTGTTTATTTTATTACGTTTGCATGGCTTGAATAACAAGTCTCCTCTGTTTCGTCATAGGCATTCGACCTCCGATCATGAATGGGCCCATGCACCCGCGCCCTTTGGTAGCGTTGCTGGATGGCAGGGATTGTACAGTAGAAATGCCTATTCTGAAGGATGTAGCCACAGTGGCGTTTTGTGATGCTCAGTCTACGCAAGAAATTCACGAAAAGGTAATATTTAGAGTTATAATTAAGGTCTTTTAGAAAACGCGTGTGTTTCCATGATTCTGAACAGATAAGGTGTTGTGTTAGCTCTGAGGATGTGTTTAGCTACGGCTAAAAGTTAATGTTTGATTACCTTAGTGAGCAAGTTACTGGTCATTTCTGATAAGTGATGAAACAAAGATGGAAATGTCTGTGTTGAAGTGTGCTTTTGTGTAAGTGTGTCTTTGGCTGGGTGTTGTCCATGTGCCTACCTACCGAATTAGATTCATGGAGAGAGTTACCTCTGGGAAAATTATTACGTGATAATTTGAAATGCTTCTTGGAAACACTGTTGCTCAGCCTTCAGCTGGAAAGCCAGATCTCAGTATTGGATTGGCCATGTGAGGAACTTTTAGACTTCTCTGTTTAGCCAAGGAATTGTGCAAATTGGGTTAGGAGGCCTTGGGCACTGAGAACTGACACTGTAGAAGAGTTTCAAAAGAAATACTAAGACAAAATTTATTTAGAAAATGAATCTCACTGTCTGTTATCCCAGAAGTTTGCACCCTTTCTAATGGTTTGGGAGCTGTAAAACAACTAATGGTTCTTAATATTGTCAAAAGTTTTCCCATTTTTTTTGAGCAATACCCATTTTTCATGGTGTTAGCCAATGGAGCCTGCTGGCCTGTAGACCTACATTTTTTTCTTCATAGATTTCTTTCGGCCTGAAGGCCTCATGCCTACCACAAGTCCTTGCTGCTCTCTCACAGCAATAGAACCTTTCCACATCCGTATTTCTATAGAGGTAGAATTAATTTTGGTGAACTTGTTGGCTGGCAGAGTAAGCCTCAAATGCCAAATATTCCTTCAACTGATAAAGGATGAAACCAGACCTTACAGCTTCTGTGGAGGTAAAAAGTGTAATAAATATGACAGCAGAGAGGGCCAATCAGGGGGCTCTTCCGTGGGAATTCAGTTTCTTCTCCAGCAGAGATCCATGATAGACAACTACAGATCCAAGTATTAAAGGTTGTTCGGTAAGCGTCTGTATCTACTTTTGCACGTACGTGTGATTCGGATGTTAAGGAGGCATCAGCTGAAGTGCACCAGTGTTCTTGCAGATCTCTTGTTAGACTTGTCCTACACTAATTAGAGCAGCCCTTGTGTTTGTGACACGTTTTCAGAAGTTTTTCACTATTTTGAATTCCTAACTGGTCTAATTGTTTATTTACTTCTCATGTTCTTGTAATGTATAGCATTGTTAAACATTAAGTCTCTCTATGTTGAAAGATTTAATCTTTTCTTTGATGACTTTCTTACAAAGTCAGCTGCTTGAAAATAATACCAATACTAACTTCCCTTCCATTATCAGGTGAATAAATCTCATTTTCTGTAGTCCATTCCATGTCAACATCTTTCTGGTGAGAACCCATCAACCAACCATTCAGCTTGTTATTTCTTAGGAAAAAAATTTTTATTCCAGGAAAAAACCCCAACATTGTTAAAACTTTAAAAATTTGTACGTGGTAGGGTTTTTTCCCTTTTTTATTTTTTTAAACAATAAAGAGAAGACTGAAGACTTGTTTACTGTGCTGATACAGCATACCAGAACTGCTGATTCTCATGGTCCAGGCAAAAAGAGGAGATTGCTCCCCTCTCCAGAAGCCCTGTCTGTAGTTCCTTGGTGGGTATCTCTGCAGGCTTTCAGGTTTCCTGTCTTGCCCTTCAGCCCCGCTCTCCACGCAGGAGTAGGCTGTTGTCAGAACAGTAGTCAAGAATGCTACTTGAGGTCATTTTCTGCCACACCTGTACTGGCTTAACATCACTACCTTGTTTCGTTCAGCTGCGTTTTGGATACAATAGAATTCTAATGTGAACAGGAAAATGGAAAATAATAGGAAATAATCTGCATTGCAAACAGCCTTTTTTCAGTTCAGTAGTTGTTTCTCGCAGGATAGTTAAAACTATTCTTTTTAGATGATTCTTAAATTATAAGCTAGATTTAGAGTTGGCAATGTTATAGTTCTAATCTCATGGCTTTTTTTAATGTGTTTATACTGTCATATAAAAGACCATCTTTACAGTGGATGGTCAATGAGTTAGCATGGAAACCTGAACTTCTGTTGTCTTGTGACATTCTATTTTGAACCAGTAAGGTTTTGCCAAAACCTGACGCTAATTTCAACCTTCTATTTAACACCTGTTGAAAAATAGCAGTATGTTTGCTGTGCATCCGACTAAGACTATTGAATATTGTGGTGGTGAACAAGAGCCTAAAAGTAACTAACTTGAGAACGCATACAAAGAAGGGAAAATTTTCTGTCTTCATTGGTAACTGGAGATGCATAGAAAAGTATACAGGGTTTTTTATTATTTAAAAAAGCTTAATTTGTAAGATTTGAATATAATAATTATATATATTACTTGGGTTTTTTTAAATTCAGAGAAATATTCAATCCAACACTACTACTCTTAATTCCATGTTATCTTTTTGTATATTGAGAATTAAAGTGTGATATAATACCTTATTTCTTTTTAATCATATTGAAAAATTGCTTTAATCTTACTGTGTTCCTATCTCACACCACTGTCAAAAGTTTAATACATGATATAGCTGGATTCTGTTTACAAGGACAAATTAACACGTGGAGAACAGGTAGTATAAATGCTGTTTCACCTTTTTAGTAGACTATAGCAGTCTGCTCTTCAGGTGAACACTGTAACGTTGGTAGCTGCACCACCTGGATAGTTTTGTGCTTTGTTTACTGAAATCAACATCATTTACTTCTGATGCATCCAGACTGGGGAATTCCTGTCTGACATGAATGCCTGGCCTTAGAAACACTCAACGTTGTCTTTTATCAGCGGGGTGTAGTAAATGACCTTTTCAGATCTTGAGACCGAAAGTCAGTGTGTGTATCTTAAATTCTAGCTTCTGAAAAGCATGTACGTAACTGATGAGTAGCACAGGTAATCTGTTGTTGATCTTCACAAGAGTGTTTGTATTTAGTAGATTATACTAAAGGTTGCATCCGTTGCTTTTTTCACACCAAAATAACTCATTCTTGGTGAGCTCAGTAATACATCCAGTACACCACCGTAATAAAAACTTTTGCTAGGCCAAAGGGTGATGCAGGCTTAAAATGTCTGGGTTTGCAAAATACCGCTGTTCTGGCAGGTAAAAAATTTCTGCAACAAAAATCACAAACCTTAATTCATTGTCATATTGTTGCATTACTTTAACATAGACTAAGAAACCAGTTTTATGAAGTGTTTTTCCATGTGCAAAGTGTTCACTGTTTATCTGCAGTGAAAAATAGCTATTTCCCACACGTCTTTAGAGTTGTAGCAGAGAAATGTCTGTATTTCAATATTGCTCGTATAATACCTTATTTGGGAATGGTGCTTTACTAAATATAAAATCACTTTCAAGAGAAGTTTTAAAATTACAACTTGCATATTGAAAACAGTGTCTAAAATGTTTATGTGTTTATGAATGCACATTCCTGGCCATGCTAAATAACGCTGACCTGTTAATTAAAACACAGATTTTGATAATGGATGTTAATTTGCGAAAGACTCTTCCCCATTGTGAAAGAAGAGATGACTGAAAATCAGGAAAAGGTTTAGTGTTAGGAAGAGCTTGCTGAAAGCAGAAGGTGAAATTTAGTTTTTCTTTCATAGATTTCTTGTCTTTAAGAAGAGCTGCTGAATCTAGGAGGGTAGCAGATACAGATACATTTACACAGTCTGAAGTTGTGGGCGGCAGGCCAGAGACTGGGAAATTTAGGATGGGGTTTGAAAGAGGTGACTGACCTTTTTTGATAGATGGTGTCTGTAGATGAATGTAATAAAAAAAAGATGTGAACTCAAGAGTTGGATGAGGAGGAAAGGAGTGAAAGACTGCGAAGGGATGGCTAGGAGGGTAAGAACCAGTGTAAACTCGGCCTGCGCAGCTGTGCAGCCTTGACACAGGGGTGTGAGGAATAAACGTTTTGGAATGTGGCAAAGGGATTTCTGCTGGTCATGAGAAGGTTTTGGGGACACAGGTAGCGGTTTAAAATGCTGTCTTATAAGATGGTTAGACAACGGAGGAAATAAAGTGGAAAAGGGGAGTTTATAGTTGTGTGTGAGACAGCAAAGCACAAGCTAGATATTTTTTCTTGCTTCCATCCTCATTCCAAGTTGACTTGCCTTTTTTCCCTGTCTCATGCTCTGTTGTTTCTCCCCCTCTATCTTTCCCCAGTCCCTCTTCCTTTGGTGCCATTCCCGGTGTACTGCTTTTCCTGGCTCCTACCCAGCACACTTCTGATTTCCGCAATATTGCTCCTTCTTTCCTGCACCTTTGAAGGCATCCCAGACTCAAGCACACCCTTGAGATCTTTCTGTTGCCTAAGATTTTTGGAGTTCAAATTCTTTACTCTTTGGGCTCCCTGACTTCAGCTGTATGTTCTGTAACATGGAGAGTACGTTTTCTCATTCTCTTTTTCTGTTATTATATGATTTCCTACATCTTGTCTCAGATCAGCTACAAGTGGTGTGGTTTTGACCTGATTTACTGCTTCGTGCAGGTACCCAGTCCACCAGAACATCAAACAGAATAGGCTGCTTGATTGGAAGTGGGGAAATTTTCTGCCTGGTAAACCTGTGCTTCAGCCTCAGGAGTGATTGAGTTAAGTTAGAATGTATTGGGTCCCTTGACTCATGTTACAAAAGGACAAAATGAAATCATCTTCACAGGGATATACTACATTTCCATATTTTTAGTTCAAGTTAAAAGCAATTAAAAGCTGAACTTCCTATTCAGCAGTGTAGGACTTGAAATTTTTTAGTCACTCTTTTACATAGGATTTAAATGTAGAAACAGTTCCAGTCATTACAGTTTTATCTGACTGTTCCAAAGAAGAGCTTTCATAATGCAACAAATATTTTGAAACTGATACAAACAAATCAAGAATGGTGCTGTTGTGCTGCTGAGTCTGATTTGTTCCTTTTATTTTGATGATTAAGAAAGATATTTTTTCCAG